TGGGATTTCCCTTTAAGAACAAAAGCTTGTTTATATGTTTGAATATTTAGTTATACTTTGTATACATTTAATAAACAGCAAGGCAGGAAGGAGAATCTATCCATGTCTAGCCATTCTGACTTTTAACTACAGGTCTTATATAGTTAAGGAATATTTTGATTCTAGGTCATAGCTTATACCTTTAGATCTCAGAACATTACTAATGGAGGTTAGCAAGTTTTTGCTGAATGGCTTCTCTGTTGTTTGACCTCTAGTTAAGGATATCTAGTTTAAGCCGAACCACCCACTCTTTTGTTTTAATGCTATATTTAACTCTGCATTATATGTAAAAACACAGAAAGATGAAGTATTTTGTTTATATAAGTACTTTTATGTTGTGGTCTCTAAAAGGAGATATTAGGCTCTCCATGTTTAGGAAAATATATTTGTTGTGGAGAGAAGAAAGAAAGAAAAAGAGAGAGAAAGGGGAAAAAAGAAATCCTAAAAGATGTGTGCAAATAAAACATATAAAGTATGTCTTTTTAAAAGGTAAAAACTGTTCAATATTAACCACTTGGTTAATATTTTCAGTAAATGTAATAAATGTTTTAACAAGCTTTCTTCTGCTAGTGAGGTAGCATAAATATTGAAAAGTAAGTATTTTATGGCTGTTCTAGAAAAGCTTTCTGTTTCTCTTTTCAGCTAGTCAATTTAACTTAACAATTAAACCTACTGTAAAGTGTGATGACTTGAGTCTCAATCCAAAGGTCCAATGTGGGTCAATGGTATTCATTCAAAGTATAATTCAAGGAGTGGACGAAACTGGAAACGGATCAGTACTGAATGACAGAAAACTTCGTAAATTAGGAAATAGTTGCCCATGTGTATTGAGTGCTTACGAGGTACAAGACATCATCTTAAATCTTCAAATGCATTGACTCATTTAATTCTCAAAATAGTATCACGAGGCAGAATTTATTATCACTCTCATAAGAGGGGAAACTGAGGCATAGAAATACTGATTAACATGCCTAGTCACTTGAGTAGTCAGCAGCCATGTTGAGATATAAAGTAAGAAAGGCTGGCTCCAGGGGTATCTTCCTACTCACAAAATCACAGTCCTGGCCACCAAATTTTGGAAGGATCTTTAACAGCTTGTCATCAGAGTTTGACCCAGACTGATGGTCATATCCAAAAAAACTGATACCTGGAAATCCAGGAATAATCCACCAGGCCATGAGTCCAGCTTCTTAGTCTAAGACAATGACTTTTGAAAGGGGATCAATAGAACTACTGATTCTTATGTTCAGATAATCCAGACCACTATCCCTCAGTCACCTGTACAACAAAACTTATCCCTCGGGTGAGACTCTCTTCCTTTCTGTGGGTAATTTTGTATTTAAAAAAAAAAAAAAACTATTTAACTCATGGACATGTGAGAAAAAAAGGAAAGAGGGAAAGAAGGGTTAGAGAGAAGGGTCTGTAGCTGGAGAATTGAAACTGGGCAGCACCCCAGTCACCTAAAACACACTTTCCTCTATTCATAAAACATTTCTCTGGACTACTTTTCTTTTCTTTTCTTTCTTTCTTTCTTTCTTTCTTTCTTTCTTTCTTTCTTTCTTTCTTTCTTTCTTTCTTTCTTTC